GTGTATGCTGACATGGACGAAGGCAGTGGCATTTTCTGACGCATGTTTTATTACTCATTTTCTTTATCATTAGAAACCACAGAGCATCTTACTAGCCCCAAACATTTGATTACAGAGAAAAAGAAATTGTGTAGCGGTAGAAACCGCCTTCTGCTATGGTTGTTTACCCCAAATGCTCTCTTAAAGCACATTAGGAATTTAGTCATCTTTTTGAATGTCAGGACTGGGTTTAACAAGAACCAAAGGCCCTGCACTGTTTTCTCTCTTTTTCAGCTCGGTTTTCTTTATAGATTTGGTAAGGGAGGGTAAATTGGCAGTGGATTATATGACTAGGTTTGGAGTCATCTGTGCTCTTAAGAGACATTGTGCAGTGAAGAGAGAAAATGAGTCTTCTGCTTGGAATCTACATTACTGCTAAGCATGTAACTGCTTTCATTTGTGTCACCATACATAATTCAGCACGTCACCCTGAGACTTAACCTGGCGTTCCTTGCACACCCAGACCTCCTCTGAAGTTGAGTCTTGCATGCTTAACTGTCCATCCCCCTCCAGCATTCCCTGACACACATTCTTTATAATAGAGCGAAGAATAATGTTAATTTTATCACATATTTGTAACCAAAAAAAAAATCAAGTTGTATAGCCACAACGGTGTGAAAGTGAAACCAATCCAGTTACAATCATTTTACAGTAGTGAAGAATCTGGCCCAAGGTTTTGAAATGGCAGATTTGAAATACTTTGTACAGAGTTCTGTTCCAGCTGACGATACTGTACTCTAGCCTGGCTTCTGGACTTGTACTTGAGATCCTACAGACTTTAGATTCAGCAAAGCATAAAATCTAAACAAACTGAGACATAGGGCTGTCCTGCACTGTACCTTGAACTACTTGGGAATATTATGTCTCAGACTGTGTGCTTGATTCTCAGCACGGAGGGGGTGGAGGAAGCTGCTTACAATTCCCTGGTTCTGTGCCAGCCCAGCTCCAGCATCAGTTAGAGCAGCCTAGAGTAGTTACCCTGGGGGAATCAGAGCAGCTGGCACAGGAGTGCTTCCTCTCGGTTTATGCCAGCAGGGAGTTCAATAGGAATTCTCTGCTGATCATTTAGAGCCAGAATTGTACTAAAGAATCGAGCCCAATATATTTTGTTTTGTGATGGACTGTTCATGATATAAGCATGATATTTCATTGAGTATTGGACTGTTCCCTGCTAGCTTATTCAGCAAATGTCCCACTTTTTAAATTGTGCAACAGCATTCTCTTGGGTTTTGTCCATAAATTCTTTGGCTCTAATGAGATCAGACACATCTGAAACTTCTGGGCATTCCCCCACATAAACAGTAATTACAGTAGAACCTCAGAGTTACGAACACATCGGGAATGGAGGTTGTTAGTAACACTGAACAAAATGTTATGGTTGTTCTGTCAAAAGTTTACAACTGAACATTGACTTAATACAACTATGCAGAAGAAAAATGCCATTTCAAACCATCTTAATTTAAATGAAACAAGGCAGAAACAGTTTCCTTACCTTGTCAAATCTTTTTTAAACTTTCCCTTTATTTTTTTAGTAGTTTATGTTTAACACAGTACTGTACTGTATTTGCTTTTGTTGTTGTTGTTGTTGTTGTCTCTGGTGCCTGACTGCGTACTTCCAATTCCAAATGAGGTGTGTGGTTGACCGGCCTGTTCGTAACTCTGATGTTTGTAACTCTGAGGTTCTACCATATTTTCAAAAAGTTGAATAAAAATCCACAGCTAGGTGGCATATCCTAAGTGCCAGCATTTGAAAGCAATTAATAGGGCACTTTGGGAGAGAAGGGCAAATATTACATACCAGTATTCTTTTTTCATTAAAGCACATGGCTTGAAAGAGAGAGTGGGGGAAAAAATATAACTGTGCTTCTTCACTGAGGCCAGTGACATGTCTGTCCGATCAACTGCCAACTCAGGAACTGTGCATGATAGTGGAGAAGCCCAGAAGTTGGTTAGGAGAGAAATGTATGTATTCTATGGGTATATTATACACCTCAGCACTTCAAAAATTGCTGGTGTTCTCCCAAAGGTGCCCTGAGTTTCTCCACAAACAAACAGATGTTTAAATCTTCACATGCTGTCAGGACCTGACCTGTTTTACAGACCTAATCATTAACCAAAAACTTTACAGTGTTTGTATTTGCATAATAATGTTTTCAAGGTATGAAATTTCAGAATTTGTCCTTAAGAGATTGAATCTCCAGGCCTTGTGAGAAACAGTCCTTTGTGGCCTCTGTCCATTTTCAAGAGGACAGGATTCCACATATCAAAAACCACAACCATGCTAGCTAATAACCTGGTTGGAAGATGCAACAGGAGGGCCAATGGGCAAAGAGATCAAATCACCCTCTGACTTTTAGAGGTCAAAAGATCAAGAGTATACCATAGTGGGCAGTATGCAGCGGGGGGAAAGCTTGCATTTCCGGTGCTTGTGCTGTCCACCCTACACCCCCTTCCTGACCTGGCCCACCATGCCTCATTCAAGTCCCTTCTCAAAACCCACTTCTTCACATAGGCTGACAAATGATGGTTCAGGCTTGCAAAATCCTTGTTTAACATATTACTTTAGTCTCTGCCCTGATTTGGACAGCCTTGCACTTTAGAAGTAGGTCATGGTACGGCTGGTTGAATGGACATGCTTTTAAGTAAGCAAGTCAATGAATATTTTATTGGAGTATGTATTCCATGTGCATCTCTGAGGGTAGACTCCCAACGCTCTGATGTGTCCTGATAGCAGGACTGGAGACCCCTCACGTTCAGTTTATTTGCATCAAAAAAATATGAGAATAACGGAAATCAGCTTCAAAGACTTCACTGTCAGGCAGCTACTTTGGGGTCATGTTACATTTCCTTCTTGATTAATGTAGGCCATAGGGGTTATTTTCTTCCATATTTTAGTGGCCGTTGTACCCATTGGATATGAGAATCAGCAAAAACTGTAGTAATTGTATTGACTTTTAAGGTACATAAACGAGGATTTTTACATAGCAGCTAAAACGTTTTGCAACCAATTGCTTGGTCTCAAGAGATGCTGGACCTGTTTGCCAGCTTAAAAATAGCCTCCTACCACAAAATGGGCGTGATCATAGCTCACACTAAGATTTCTCAAATGACAAACAACTGCTCAGTTTTGTGTTATGATGACTAGTCATTTTGCAAGCAGGAGTTGAGTAAGATTCAGGCAAGGAGATCATCTCTTCTGTTGTTGTTCAAATTGTTTTTCTTGTTGTCTCTTTTGAATTTTATGAAGTATGAAACAGCCAATGGCCATTTAGCAGATGTAGAGAATTGGCTAAAGTGTGTGTGTGTGTGTGCCCCGCTGCTCTCTAGTGGGTGGAATCAGAATTGCTCATCTAAGGGTCATAGCTCCTACACTGCTTGCAGCCAGTGAAGATGCTCCTTTCATTCAAATGCTTTTGGAGCAAAGAAATCTGAGTTTTGTCTCTGCTGTCACTTTGAAGTTCCAGCTGACCAAGTGTGCAGGGTAGTGGTAACAGATGTTCTTAGTTGGCCAGGGGGGTCTTATACAGTGTAATAGAAGCTCTGTGAAGGTAGGAAACAGCTCTAAGGCTGGTGACATCACAGGGACATGTCCTATTTCCCTGGGCCAGCCATCAAAGACAAACAGCATTGTTTTATTTTTGATCATGTGACCTGATTTTATCCAATCACATTCTTTATAAAAAATCAGTAGGTGAAGAGCTCCTAATTTGTTAGTTTAATATTTATCCATGGAATGGGAAATATGGAGGGGGGGTCACTTCTGGGTCTTGTAGTAAGTATATTGGTGACAGCTGTAACCAACACAGCACTGTACGTGAACTGAAACAGCTGGTGAAATGGAGGGAAAAAACAGATGTCTTTTTTTTTCAAATCCTGCATACAGCTTTATAAAATCATATGGTGTCTTAATCTATATGTGACTTTACTTAACCCTGTGTGAAATCCAGGCTATTAATCATTTGGGCCAAAAAGAGATAAATATTTATTAATTTACAGTTTTGGGCAGAGAGAGTTATACAAGCCGTTATGTATGATATACAGGATTTTGTAGCATTCTGAAGTCATCTGTTTAACTTTTTAGCACTGCAACCCCCTCAAGGTCTGTTCTCCTTAATTTGCATAAGTAACTGTCAGCTCATTAACGGCTCTTTATTAGCACAGAAAACCATCTGACGGAAACATGCTGGGTTCATCTGAAGGCCTTGTCTTCACTAGGAGAAAAGGTGTTTTCTACCAGGTGCTAGCTAACACATGGCAAGTAAGGCCATGTCTACAGTATGGGGACTGTAGCAGCATAGCTACAGCACCATCATTATCCTGGCATAACCCTATAGTGTAGACACAGTTTAGAGCGATGGAGGTTTTTTGTTGTTGTTGCTATAGGAACACCACCTCCCCTAGCGATGGTAGTTAGCTCAAGGGAAGCATTCTTCTGTCAACCTAGCTGCATCTACACTGGGGATTAGGTCGGCATAGCTACATCCCTCAGGGGTATAGATTTTTTCACCCACTCGAGTACTGTAGCTAATTTTCAAGTGTAGACCAGGCCTAACACAGTGAAGACAAGGCATGCCTAGGATTTTATCCTAAGATAAAAGATGTGTTCTTACTTCATGTTAGCTAATGTGGCAACTAAAATCCTAGTGTAGACAAGGCCATTTGTAGCTTTAACACATGGTACTAGATTGAGGTAGAGACTATGGAGAAGCCTATAGCTTACCTTGCCCTGCAAACTCATGTTAAAATTACAACTACCCACCTTTCTTCTTAGAGTAGACGCTCCCTATGGGAATGGATTTCAAATCACCAGTCACCGTTCAGCCCGGTGATTAAGATAAGCATAGAATCTAAAGAAAATATGCATATTTAGGTCTGTTGACAAAATGTGACAACCAGTTTGAAGGCTAAAGCAGGAAACAAATTCCCCATCTGTGACATGTGTCCAATTGTGTCTCCTGCAGGCATGGCGGAAGCGCTGGTTTGTGCTCCGCAGGGGCCGCATGAGTGGGAACCCAGACGTTTTGGAGTACTACAGAAACAACCATTCAAAGAAACCCATTCGGATCATAGACCTTAACGAATGTGAAGTGCTGAAGCATTCAGGGTCCAACTTCATCAAGAAAGAATTCCAGAATAACTTTGTCTTCATTGTGAAAACCACCTACCGCTCCTTTTACTTGGTGGCGAAAACGGAGGAGGAAATGCAGATATGGGTGCACAACATCAGCCAGATCTGCAACTTCGGACACTTGGAAGATGGCACAGGTAGGAATGGAATCATGGCTCAAGCTCTGTGGAAATAACCTGGAGCTGGAATCTCCCTCAGGCAGCAAAGTGGCCAGAGGGGAGTGGAGATTTATCCTGCTGGGGAACATCATAGTACCTGTGGTAATTGGTTTGATTTTAGAAAGATTGCGTAAAACGATCAAAGATGTCAGTTCTGCTGAATATAAATAATAGCCAATTGGTTTTGGTCTCACTTCTGTGAACTAACTAACTCCTTTTTGAATAAACCAACAGATTTTTTATAAAAGAAGGTACTGTTTATGTACAATACTGATTAAACGTTATCTAATGGGACTTCATATTTCATTACATGCTTGGTATTTATTTAGTTTGACTTAACATCAATCACCCATCTCAGAGAGAGAGAAAGTGTCCTACAAAGTTCACATTGTCTCAAGCATTATAGGATGTGATCTATAAATCTTGATGCTAACGCTGTAAAGCCCTCTTACTCTTGTAAAGAGAAGAAAAGGCAGAAAAAAGAGGCAGAGAATCAGATGCTCCAGGAGTGTGGTAGGAATGTGTGTCTAGATCCAAGATATGTTCCTGCCCATGAAAATGAGGACAAAGGATTTTGTCAAGGCCTCCACCCATCTAGAGAAAGATCCCGTAAGATAGTTCGTTACAGTGAATTTGTTGGAGCTGCTCCTAGAATTAGCCACTGCAGGTTGAATCTGGCCATTAATTAACACAGGAACCTGTGTCATTAGCTTGATTTTTTAAAATGAGCAATTCAGCCTCAGATAAATGCAAACTGTATTTTCCCCGAGATTTCCAAGGGGCAGATACAGCAGTGATTTGAAAGCAGCAAAGGAAATAAGTCAGATTGAGTCTCATGGTCATGAAGAAGGCCATTGCAACAACAGAAGTGGATGATGCTGGGGGAACTCACTGAAAGACTTGTCTCATTAAAAGGGATAATAGCACTTTTAATCTCATAAACCTGAAAGGAGACAGAAGACCATGCTGGGATGCTTTAATTGCCTCTATTCCAGTTCGTGCATTCTTTAATCTTCTCTTCATTAGTATGCTCAGAGGAGGAATGGAAGGGAGTGGGGAGATTTTGGCAGAGTTCCCATTATAACCCCGATAGCTGCAATTTTCACATTCAGTTTAGAGTCCGTCAAGAAAACTTGGTGTCATGTTTGGTATGTGCCAGTGTATAGCCGTAACTCCCAACTAGCAAAGTAAGACTTAGACACAGGCAGCATGAGCTAGGAGCCTTGAGAGGGCTGGAATCACTTGCTCACCTGAGCTTGGATGAAATATGAGGATGGTTCAGAAACAAACTCTCTCAACCTTGCTGAAATTGTAAGGTTTGGGAGGTTTGTTGCTGCATTGTTGTTATTGCTTTATGTATAATTTTGTCAAAAAGTCTAAAATGAGGGTAAGACTGTCCCTGTGAAGCTAAAGAGGAAAGCTGTCCTTCTCCTGAGAGACAAAGAAGTAAAGTCATGGAAAGCCAAAGAACAGGATAGATGAAGGTTCGTTTCAGTGAGGCCCAGTTGACTGGGCCTCGGCTGTATTTCGCTCAAAGGACCTCTCCAATGGGATTTGAACTGATCCTTTCATAAAGGCAGTAAGTGTTTGCCTGAAGTCAGGATACCTTCAGAGCTAGTGCTCAAGCAACGTTCAGGCCTTATCTTCTCACAGTTTGTGCTCCAGTCTAAGGCTTTGTGTACCCTTGGAAGTTTTATTGGCATAAAGAGCGCCTGCACTAGGGACTTCTGCCAGCGCAACTATGTTGATCAGGGATAACGTCTCTTCACAACCCTGAGTGACACAGCTATGCCAGCAGAAGTGTAGTGTAGACCTAGCCTTAGGGGCTCATATGCTGATATAATTTATGGCAAGGGAACCAGTATAAGCACTTTGATACTAATAATACTGTGTCCTCACTAGATCGTTTTGCTGGTTTAACTATGCCGATATAGCTGTATGCAAGGTCTAAATTGCTTTAGAAACTGATTAATTTGGTTCAACCTCTTTGTGTGAACACTCTTAAATTGGTTTTAAAAAACCTTACATCCATGTTGTTTAATTGAGTTACTGAATCTGTAGTTATGCCTGTGCACATTTCCCTAATATAGACAAGCCCTGAGTCTTGCTGCCACACTATAGGAGTCTTCCCCCTTATTCAGACTTTTAAGAACAGTCATTATCTCCAGAGTCATTAGGACCATACCTGGTTTATCCTGAAACGCCTGGTGGTCTGGTGAAGATTGGGGAAGGGGTGGATTCAGGGCCATATTCTGGTTCAGTTTACCACCAAGCCTATAAAGTTGCATAGGTTGTACATCAACATTTAAACAGCTGCTGATTACTCATGCTTACTAGAAGCACCTCAATCCCCAAAGTGTCTGTAAATTTCAACAAATTACCATTAAACATGAATATTAGAAGAGAACAGAGCTATAAAATGCCATGTACTTTTTTGACTTGAAGTCTTGTATGTAAAAATATTCCCAGGAGTGAATCATCATATCAAAGATATGTCAATTGCGGGAAATTTTAATAAGCTTTTCAGTGCATTAAAAATTAATCTCCAAACCAATATTATGTAGCTAACCCGATCATTCTTAATCCATGTACCTTTTTCATTTGTTTGTGACTCTCGGGCCAGAATCTAATTTCAGATTCTTTGTGCATGATGGGTGCAAAAGAGCAGTGGCAGGTTTACTCAGTGACTCAGCCATATACCCAGCGCTCTTGTGCTTCAAATTAGCCCCTTCAAATGGAGAAGAGTTGGGGTTAATAGCCAGGCTCATACGATCAAAGAGCTACTAATTTGGCATTTCTACAGCCAAGACGGGACAGACACGAATTGTGATTTGTGAGTCCTACACAGGGTCCGTACTGCCCACCGCAAGTAGCTGTTTTGAGTCAACACAGAGAGGGACAGCAAAGAGTAAGCGAAGAGAAATGCAAGTTCCAAACAGATGTCAGGAAGCACCTGTATGCATAGCTGTCGGGAAGGGTTTACCAGGCAAGGGTGTTCAGGCTGCAACATTTGAGTAACCCAAGAAACCATGCCACTTACTGGTTACACTAGGAAATGGCAGCTGGACGATGGAACACGATGGAACTGTGCAATCCTCCATCGTGTTTCGGCTTTGCACCTTTTTCTGCTCTAGTGGAGTCCAGCTGGAGCTGTGAGACTCCACACCAGGATTTCCCTACTCCCTCTCTTTAACAGCCTGCTCCCACCCCTGGCATAGCTGAGAAGCACAGGACAGAACTCCCTGGGAAGCACTTCTGCCTATACTGCCTAAAATGTGCCAGGGAGAAATAATTAAGACATTACCAAAGTGGTGGGCACAGCATAAAAAGCTAAACAGACAGATTATACAAGCCTTGTTTCCCCGTCACAGGCCACAGAGGCCTGTGCAGGTACAGCATGGATAGGACACGCTGGTACCAGTGTATAGGAACATAGAAAAACCTATCAGATCATCAAGTCCCATCACCATGAAGGGCAGGATCCATTCCCAGAGAGAGGACTCTAACCCCACTTGCTGCTGAGTCACCCTTTTGCTGTACACCAGGTGTTCGCAAACTGTGGTCCATGATGGTGATCCACAGATTCACTGCTGATTGGCCATGTGGTGCTGGCTCTCATCTTTGTTCCCAGCAGCTTTTACAGGCTACCAGGCAAAGAAGAACTGCAAAATCAGATGGGAACAAGCAGGACCCAGCCTTGCTGCTTACACAAGGGAAGGCACCCAGGGAAACAAGAGGAGTAAAGGACCAAGTGGCTGGGCAACATGTCCAGGGAAGAAGGGAACCAAGGAGCAGAGAAGCCCATGCAAGGAGAGAGGAGGAAGAGGGGACCAGGCAGCAGAGAAGCACAACACACCCCATACTGCATGCATGCTGAAAGGATGGTTAACTGGAGCAATATAATCTAACAGGATTTCATTGGAGAACCTGTTAAGGTTGTTTAGGCTTTTTCAGTACCAAGCCCTACTTTCAAAGATTATAACTCTGCATTAAAAACTCCTCCGGGCTGCATCTTGGCAAGGAGCTCCTCGGCCCAGGAGGGACCTTTCATCTTGAATTCTCTCTTCAAATTCCTCCATGTGCCCCCGGTAACATTTCACATTGAGCGTGACTGTTCTGCTCCTTGCTTACAAAGGCAATCACCTGGCAATCGCTGTGTTAATCCCCACCCCATAAGCCGCTCCAGTAGGGTGATCAGATAGCAAGTGTGAAAAATCGGGACAGGGGGTGGAGGGTAATAGGTGCTTATGTAAGAAAAAGCTCCAAATATCGGGACTGTCCCTATAAAATCAGGGCATCTGGTCACCCTACGCTCCAGGTACCACAGAGTCTAGAGTGAAATCCCTGGGCTTGATGCCTTGCACAGGTGAGCTCAAAGTATTTCAAAATATTCCTCCATGCAGGTACTTACAGACTGTAATCAAGTCACCCCGTAACCTTCTCTTCATTAAGCTAAATAGACAGAGCTCTTTGAGTCTATCACTGTAAGGCATGTTTTCTAATCCTTTGACCATTCTCGGGGCTTGTCTCTCTGAACCTTCTCCAGTTTATCAACATCCTTCTTGAATTGTGGGCACCAGAACTGGACACAGGATTCCAGCCGCGGTCGCACCAGTGCCAAATACAGAGGTAAAATAACCTCTCTACTTCTACTCGACGTTCCCTGTTATACATCCAAGGATTGCATTAGCTCATGGGAGCTCATGTCCAGCTGACTAGCCACCATGACCCCTTGAAAAAGAAATTCAAATTTTTGGTGTGTAATTTTATCCTTCATAACGTTTACCTCCCTATTTGTGTGCCCCTGTGTCTTATTGCCCTACCCCCACCTCCTCTGGTCTGCAGGTAATGCCAGCCTCATCAGCCCACTTCTTAGCTCCTCACAAACACATTTCTGTGCCTTCTTCCAGACCACCCCCTCCCCCCCATGCATGGAACATCCTCCCTGAAGTGATCCATAAAGTGCTATGCACCCCTTT